CTCCTCATGCTAGGCAATCGCGCTACCATTTGAGCCACATCCCCAGCCCCCTCTGTTCAACTTTCTGATCACCACATAAGTATTAGCAACCTGGGAAACCCTCCCCGCCATACCCCCCCAGAGGAGCCCATCACTGTCCTGCAACTGTAAAACACCCTGTTTTTCTCACCACCTGTATGACCCTGTCAGTACTTATTTGGTGTCCACTTCTGAAATAGATACAAATGTAGAGAAGGCAGGGACATGATTTGTGCCCCACCTTTAGATTTCTAGCACAGGGCCTGGTACACAGGAAGACATCTGGCAAATTATTAAATGTATGAGTGTCAGGTGACTCCAAGAGGGCCAGGGAATGAACCTTATCCAACTGACTGCAAAAAGGCAGCCTTCGTTTCTATTTTGATTTATTCATTATATTAAATTATGGCAGTGAAATAACATCCTTGAAAAAAACCCCAAAACTACAGAGAAAGCCAAAATCTCCTTTGCTCTCTACTCTCAATCTCAAACTCTTCCCCCCAAATTCCACGCAATAAGAGTTAACTGTTGGGCTGGAGTTGTGGTTCAGTGGTAGAGAACTCTCCTCGCATATATAAGGCACCGGGTTCCATCCTCAGCAGCACACACAAATAAATAAAATAAAGGTATTGTGTCCACCTGCAACTAAAAAAAATATTTTAAGAGGTTAACTATTTTTTATCAGTATAAACTTCATAAAGTATATTCTTTCAGGTTCTTCTCTATGTGTTTATACTCACATATACATATCTACGGAAATATTGCATATACTATCATATACTCGTACTTGATACTTTTTACTCAGTGATAGCTTCTGGATGTTTTTACATGTTATTGCAAGATGGCAAGTTCAAGATGATCCTCATGAATTTTAACTGCCACAGAATGATTTGGATCTATCATAATTTATTAAGCATTTTCTTATTGATGGACATTTAGATCTTTTCTGTATTTTGCTACAGTGGATACTCTGGTCCTTTCTAATGCACATATGCATATCTTTTCTTTAGTATAGATATAGAGAAGTAGAACTGCTGTGCCTGAAGTGAGGAGTTTTCTCATTTTTCTAGTTCAACTTTAAAGACAGGTTGCTCTGAAGGCAAAGATGATAAATCTGTATTATATTTCATTTCATAAATGGATAATTTTATGTATGCATGTATTGTGGTGCTAGAGATTGGACTCAGGGCCTTGCGCTTGGCAAGTGCTCTACCACTGAACTACACTCCCAGTTCCTTTTTAAAATTTTATTTTGCTATATTGCTGAGGCTGGCCTTGAACTTGCCATCTCCTGCCTCTGCCTCCTGAGTTGCTGGGTTAACAGGCATGCACCACCACGCCTGGCCTATATGTGAACTTTCTTTTTCTTTTTT